ATATGTTGGAAGCAGCTCATCCACATAGCTCCTATCAAGTGCACGTCACTTCCGATAACAAACCCACCCTGACCCCGACTCTCGGATATCGAGTATGTATATGTCTGTCCGTCCGCAGAATGGAGTGATAAGGCGGCCAATGAATAAACATTTGATAATAAAATCGGGTAGCTCGTAGGACTTGTTCAATGTTTTGTAATAGGATAATTGTGATAACACTCCTACGGCTATATAAACACCTGCTGAGCACACTTCCGTCATTCCACATGGTGCTGCAGTGGCAGCTGGAGGGCAGTGGAGAGTGTAGGGATGATGGGTAGGTGAGCGCAAAACCAATCACCAACGGACCTAACGTGCAGTGGGGTATGATATCTCATTCTACCGTCATGTCATGATTATGGCGATGCCTCTACTTATGAAACTCCTTTTTGTTGCATACGCGTCACTCCACGAGGTTGGTGTCACAGGTGGAAGGGACCACAGCGGAAGACGTGAAAGCTTGCGCAGAGAATGGAAGGTCCCGGAATTTGACGGGAGATGAGTGTGGTTATTATAAAAGAATTCTGACATCAACTTTCCCAGTTTTGATTCGACACATGCTAGTGCATTCCATGACACGGACTAAACACGGAAAGTTGTTGAGGGCTTTCTCAATATACCTCCGCCTCTAAACCCTGATTCCAAGAAGGACTAGTCTTTTGCTCATTTATCCAATAGTAAGTTTCCCATGAATCCTTGATTGTGCCAACTACGTGGAGTATACGTAGTGGATTTCAGACAGCCCACTAAGAATTTCATGCAAGCTTAATCGTGTTCTACGAGTTTTCTTTCCACCTTTTTTTGGTGCATGAATATGGGAGGAAGACCGATAAAGGAAATCAGAAAGGGTCAGCTTTTCCATATTAGACATCACAGCTCCATTGACCCATACGAAACTGACTTGCCTGTCTTCCGATAACTGCACTAACTTTTCAATTTTTCTCACCTCTGTTAACTTTTAACTGATGCCAGACCGTTATGCGTGTTTCTTCTGCGCCATTGAAAAATTTTAGCGCTGTCATGCGTAATATGAGTGCAGTATCAAGGTCATTAGATTTCCTTATTGGCACAAATATCTCCGTAAACAATAAGGGTTTCGTTATCCTTACTATATTTAATTCGATAAGTATGTCTGTGCGTGTGTATGTGTGTACGTCTGTTTGTCAAAAAAAATTCATAGGGCGCTTCGCCATAGAGGAGCGCTGCATTTGAAGTATGTTGTAGGGGTAGGACGGGTACACATACGGTGGGGGTCAGAAAAGTGATAACGGCTAATAAGATCCGATAACAGGCGCCAAAACGCCAGTTCCACGGTAATCATAGCACGCGCCCCAGCATCAGTGAGGCGTTTGTTCCATGAAGTGATATAGACGGTTGGACGGGACATGTTTGGTGAGGGTCAGAAAGTGATAACGGCTGATAAGATCCGATAAGAGGCGCAAAACGCTAATTTCACGATATCCATAGCGCGCGTCCCAGCATCAGTGGGGCGTTGGTTCCAAGAAGTGATGTAGGGGGTGGGACGGGAACATATTTGGTGGGGATAACGGCTGATAAGGGTCTATAATAGCGATGTGCGCAAGAATATAGAGGTCCCTCAAAACTAAGACGTTACATAATACATTTTATTTTCAATGCGTTTGCGTTGTCATCTTGGTCCTAAAACACATTAGACCGCAACGCTCCCAGAATTCTTAGAACGTATGGCGGATGTTAAGAGAAATACGGATAACGAGGTACTGGGTGTTTCTACTTCAAGATCAAACTTAATGCGACCGCTAAATCACACTAACATCGATGCATGGTGGTTGTTTAACACGTTGGAGACCGCGCATGTTTTACGTTTTGTGGCCGCGTGGGACTTCGGTGAAATTTTTAGGAATCTTATCAGCAAATTGGAAAGAAAACCTACTGTATGATGCAGAAGAAACCTTATCGAATAAAATGGAAAAGAAAATGAAAGAAAAACTAATATTTGTTTCCGAAATGTGAGCTGAAAGGTCCTAAGCGGTCGACGGACTGCAGCCCACATATGGGCTGCATGGGCTCCAAGGTGTTAAGGAACCACTTTAGCTCCGCACTCCACTGCGCGCATCAAACGGTGAGCTTCTGCAAAGAAGGACAGCCTATGAAACGGTCAGCTAACACCTTTTACGAGACAACTCAATGTTTAGCTGTGAAGCTATCGCTCATCGGCTGTCCTAGGCTTTCCGCTTCATGCGCGCAGAGCAAAACTGGTATATGTTACAGTCCAAGTCTCGACGTCTGATTGGCCGTGTCACTGGAATCGAAGTGGCAGCAGCCGCACTTGATAGATGCCGTGTGGATAAATACTCCGCCAGATATCAGCAAAGCATGTTGGAAGCAGCTTATCCGCGCAACTTCTATCAAGTGCGGTGGCTGCCACGTCATTTCCGGTGACACGCCCAATCAGACTTCGAGATATGAACTTTATATATACACTGAAACGGTTAGAATAGCTAGCGCTTGTTCCGTATTTGCCACATTCATATCTAATATACTTAGGTGCATTTTTGAAAATAAGTTTAAATGTTGCAAAATCTCAACAGCTAATAATTATAAAAATATTAATTAACTAACACAAACAAACTTTTCCACCTTTTTATTTAAAAATTTTTGCATACTTCAATCAATTTATATTTTAATACTGCATTTAGTTAATATACAATTAACTCAAATGCATGCTCCTCTGCACGACAAATTGTACGTGAATATTTTTTTCGTCTCCCCTGTTTCTTTATTTCGCGAGCCCAACTCACTGGGATCGACGAAATGATAAGGTTGGAGGCTGGAGGGAGCAAAACGAACCGATCCAATTATTTCGTTTGTAAAGGGTTCAAAAAGGGGACAACTGCATAGTTGGGGAACAGGCGGACTTTTTCCTGAGTGGCAGACCGACGCGCAACTGGCAGTGAATGAATTGACCTCGACGATATACCATGGCTCAGTCTGAGCGCGGTTGGCAGGGTACGCCCATTACCGCGCCGCAGGTGTGTACGTGGCAAGTGGTTAGATAACAGTGATAGTGGGTGTTGAAGAGTGCACAGCAGAGTCGCATCAATGCGCAAATCAACGGGCAAGGAGGGGGCCTATTTCCCAGGTTTCGGACCGTTTCAAAGGTTTTTTCCTCGTCCCGGCCCCAATGATCACCTCCACCCTTATTTCCAATTAGCTAATTTTTATCATGAATTATGCCTCTAATTGAACAGTCGACGATGCGCGTGATTTTTTTCCATACCCTTGCATGTTTGTCAGTTATTGCACGAAAGATACGAAAACAATGAAGTGCACACGATTCCTGAAACATTATTGGAGGGATGTGGAGCTTAAAAGCCGGCGTGAATGAGTCACCAACTCGTTAGCTACTGCCTTTGTACAGCGATTCCATACCAGCATCGTCCAGTATGCTCCTGCTCCCTTGGTAATCGGTGGCTTCATCAAACCGCTGTTTTCGCAGCATGTGCTTGTACATCGATCAACAGATCTAAAATACCAAAAGCTTTCATCGTATGGGGAAGATTTTGTGAAGAACGTCACAAAATGGTTCGGCCCAAAATTTGTGGGTTTCATCGAGGCAAACGTTCCAGGCTTCTGGAAAGTTAGCACGTTTTGATAGTAATGTGAAACTTTTGCAGAACGGTGAGTGATCTAGGCATGGACTATTCAATTCAAGTGCCTTTCACTTACAAAGAAAACAACTTATCAGTTCGGTGCCAAAATATTTGGTATTGTTTCGATAGAGGTACGTTGCACTTATGTGAATATGATGTTGTACCATAATCAGTGAACTTTATATTTATTTCTGTGAAAGTTCCTAAAATTGTTGGAAGCCTGAGGCATGTTTTGCGAAGTATGTGGTACGCAAACCAGCTTATCTGAAGATACAGTCAGCCCTTCAACACTGGCTTCCGTGACTATGATTTCAATTTTTCTGAAATCTAATTCTGACTGAGCTTTCCCCTTCATTTGTACCAACTGGATCTTTTCAACGCACAGAGGAGTAGTGAGACGATGGTCGAGGACCCCCCTTATTCACTGTGCATCGATGGCCTCTCTAGCGGGGCTAGCTTTCTCATATGAAGGTGATCCTGGCATCTTAGACTCTATCTTTCTATCTCACCTACACCCGAATTCTTTTAAAATGAGTCTGTACGG